GTGAATAAAGAATTTAATAAAGTGTTGTTTTCCTGACTGTTTAACCTGTGATATAGTGTTTTTGGTAGATGTTCTTGTGAGTCACCCAGGAGGCCTGGAAGGAGGGCTTGGCCTGCCCCCCTTGCACGCTATCTCCAAGTTTCTCACAGTATTTCGAAGTTTCTCACAGTTTTTAGTAAACATGTTTTTCAGGTAAACATTTTTTGTTCACTGGGAGACGCTCTCACGCGATGTAGAGGGTGGGAAAAGTACAAAATCACAGTTTTTTGGTAAACATATTTTGTTCACTGGGAGACGCTCTCACGCGATGTAGAGGGTGGGAAAAGTATAAAATAAGAGAGCGCTCAGTAAAGAGTTAGAGTCCGCTGTGAGTCTACGATCGGGACGTCCAGTTTTTGTGTTGGTGTTTGCTCTGCTTGGGGCTGTGCGGCTCTCCAGCCTACGTGTCACGGTGAGAGTTCTTTTTACATCAATACTTGTGAGATTGTACATCTGAGTGTGATTGTACTATTGAAGCTTTGCTTTTGCTATATCTGTGGAGGAGTAATAAAGGAAACAATTACTATAGCAGAACAGTGTTGGAGTATTTTTGATCATTGTGCCGATTCTCTTCCGAGTCCAGGTTTACCTAAACTAAATATCACAAAACAATATGTATATATATATTAGGGCATTAACAGAGTACTCGAGTAATCTACACATCGATTGCTAGGACATCTATCGATGTTAAAAATGTAAAGTCGGTTATCCGTAGTGAAGTCATATTATGTGACCACGTATGACCGTATGGGGCGGTGTTGCACTGTTGCAGGTCACAGAGTATGGTGCATCACCGGGTCCTAACCACCGAACCAGTTTCGGTTTAAGTTTCATTTTTGACGTGCTGCGTTTCTTCATGTTTGCAGTTTAATAATAATAACAACTAATGGTTTAGTTTTTCCTGTGACTTATTTGCAGTATGATAAATGGTAGGAGCATAATATACGCTCCCAATGTTTTGTTGGTCTTTTTTTTTTTTGTAAATAATTACCATTTTTTGCGGTTTTATTTATTTATTTTTGTATCTTGAGATCTATGACGTCATCAAATACTCAAGTTCTACTCGGGTTTTATTATGTTAATGTCAAGTTTAAAAATTATATACTCGTTCAACAATGGCTGCAACAACGAATCGATAAAATCTATAAAAATCGATGATTAAAAGTGTTGGCAACGAATTTAGTTATCGATTCGTTGTGTCGCGCTATTATTCATCTTTCACGGCGCTGTGGAGCCATTTTGTTTTGTTCATGGGCATTTCATTGTCAATGCTGACTGACTGAATAAAGTTTGAAAAAAAAAACTGCAGCGCGAGTTGAACAGAGCGAGGGGGGAGCAAAGCAGTGGCAGTGTTTTTAAAGGAAATTTAAGTAAATTTTACAAATGACCGACGCAGCGAAAACTGTTTGACCCAAGTCCTCCAAAGTGTGGGAGAACTTAACAAAGATAAAAAATGAGAAACATGCCGCTTTGAAAATCGCCGACACGACACGGGAGAACCACGGAGATAAAACGTAAACATGTCGGAGTCACGAGCTGCAGATGATACATGTTTCACTCCCAACTCATGTGTTGCAGGTGAGTCTCTACAATTTAACACATTGTTCTGTTTCAAGAGAGAAAACGTAACGTCAGTCTGTCTGGTAGATGAAGCTGCTGTTTGTTTGCTTGTTTATCTGATTAATGGCGGTGATAGAAAATGTGTGTTACTTTTTATTTAATTTGATTGGAACAAGCAGTGTTTAAATGTGATTTATAAATAAATCTAACACAAAGATAATAATTTTATGATTAAGCTTCAACTTTTAATTTGTTGGCAAAGTCTGAAGACACTGCATGTATGGCAGGATGAATTGCATTTAAACAGGAATT